GTAACAGTCCAGGTCCCATGTGAGCCTGTGATTCACACAGGGCCTCACCCAGCTCACCATCAAGCGTCCTTTACTGCCCTCTACATACCTCGCCTCTGTCCCCTCTGCTACAGGTGTTGCAGCTCGTTTCTGAGCAGTCCCCAGGGAGGTGGGGCAGAGTGGCTGCTGGACTCGGGCTGTAAGCAGGCATCTCTCCCTAGGCCCCTGTGACTCGCAGCCTTGCCGGAACGGAGGCACGTGTGTTCCAGAAGGACGGGACAGGTACCAGTGCCTGTGCCCACCGGCTTTCAGAGGGCAGGCTGACTGCGGTACGTATGCACGGGACCTTCAAAATGGGCCTTTGGCGGGCGGGCAGTCCAGGCTCCCCGCTCACCGCCCACCATTCAGACTGCCAGGTAGAAACTAGCCCTTGAGGTTTACAGCCACCTGCTCACCGAGACCCCCCGCTGTGATGTCTCACACGAAACGGCCTCTGAGTCTCCATGAATGAAGAGCTCAGCTGGCAAAGCCCTGGGTGGGACAGTGGCTCCTGGTGTATCAGCTTCCGAACGGTCGCTGTTCCACATCTGAGTGTCGCAGAGCCCAGCTTGGTCCCGGTTCTGGGCAGAGCCTCTTGTCCCCCTTTTTAGGAAGAGAAGCCTCAACCCTTTCTGATTTTAAAGAGATGAAATGAAGACTGTAATAGGCTTGACCTCCTAGGGTTGTTGGGAGATTGAAAGCAGATTATGTAGTATGATAAGTGCTTAGCACAATGCCTGACACATAGTAGGGGCTTGTTTAATAAGTTTTTTAAATGTAGTGCATAGCTTCAGGATTGCTCAAACAGGACACAAGCAGCACTAATCGTAATGGGGGGGAAGGTATAAAATAGGTTACATGTCAATTTTTAAACAGCAGTTTGGTGGCGACCCTTAGCAAGAGCCTGGAGGGAGGGCTCTGTGATGTGCACTGGGCACTGAGCCCCTGGAGCCTATTTCTGCACCCCATCTCCCACCTGGGAGAGGTTTCTGCTGTCCCGGGTGGCGGGTGGGTATCTTGGGTGGGAAGGTGACCTGCGTGCCCCAGGTGGCCAGGGCGTGATGGCGGCTGTGACTTTGGCAGCGCCGACGCTGAGCCTGGAGTGCAGAGTAGATGTCCTCTTCCTGCTGGCCAGCTCGGCGGGCACCACGCTGGAGGGCTTCCTGCGCGCCAAGGCCTTCGTGAAGCGGTTTGCGCAGGCCTCGCTGAGTGAGGACACCCGCGCCCTCGTGGGCGTGGCCCGGTACAGCGGGGAGCTGGAGGTGGCAGTGCCCGTGGGCGAGTACCAGGACGTGCCCGACCTGCTCAGGAGCCTCGATGCCATCCCCTTCAGCGGCGGCGCCACCCTGACGGGCAGTGCCCTGCGGCAGGCGGCAGAGCGCGGCTTTGGGAGCGCCAGCAGGACCGGCCAGGACCGGCCCCGCAGAGTGCTGGTCCTGCTCACCGAGGCCCGCTCCCAGGACGAGGTGGCCGGCCCCGCGCGCCACGCCAGGGCCCGGGAGCTGCTCCTGCTGGGCGTGGGCAGCGAGGCCGTGCGGGCGGAGCTGGAGGAGATCACAGGCAGCCCAGAGCACGTCATGGTCTACACCGACCCTCAGGACCTGTTCAACCAGATCCCGGAGCTGCAAGGGAAGCTGTGCAGCCGGCCGCAGCCAGGTAAGATCGCGTGCCCGTGCCCGTGCCCACTGCGAAGCGACCGCAGCCCGACCCAGGCCTGTGCCTAGGGGCTGGCTCCACTTTAAGTAACGTGGGACCAACAGTAGCACCTCCTGAAGGGCTTTTGTGAGGATTATGTAAGACAAGCAGTGTACACAGAGTATGCACTCAGGAAATTGTAGGTGTCGCTATTTTTTATTACTATTCATTTATTATTAATAAGGAGCTCAGAATCTAAGCATGCTTTAGAACAGCTTTCCACCTGGCACAGCCTGCCCCGAGGCCCACTCTGCATCCTCCACAGGCTGCCGGGTACAGTCGCTGGACCTGGTCTTCACGCTGGACGCCTCGGCCTCAGTGGGGCCTGAGAATTTCGCCCAGATGCAGAGCTTCGTGCGAAGCTGCACCCTTGAGTTTGACGTGAACCCGGACGTGACCCAGATCGGCCTGGTGGTGTATGGCGGTGGCCAGGTCCAGACAGCCTTCGGGCTGGACAGCCACGTCGCCCGTCCTGCGGTGCTGCGGGCCATGAGCCAGGCCCCCTACCTGGGCGGGGCAGGCTCAGCAGGCACAGCCTTGCTGCACATCTATGACCAGGTGATGACTGTCCAGAGGGGTGCCCGGCCCGGCGTCCCCAAGGCCGTGGTGCTGCTCACCGGTGGGCGGGGGGCAGAGGACGCGGCCGTCCCTGCCCAGAAGCTGAGGGACAATGGGGTCTCTGTCTTGGTGGTGGGCGTGGGGCCCGTCCTGAGCGAGGTGCTGCGGAGGCTTGCAGGTCCCCGGGACGCCCTGATCCACGTGGCGGCCTACACAGACCTGAGGTTCCACCGGGACGCGCTCATCGAGTGGCTCTGTGGAGGTGAGTGGGGGAATCCACAGCGCTCAGGGCTGCCCCCGAGGGGTGATGCCTCAGCCTGAACCTTCACATCTTCACAGGGGCTACAGCTTCTCCTGGCCACTAAGCACTTTCTACGTGCCAGGCTCTGTGCAAAATCCCACGCTCAGGAAGGCCTGCGGTAGGCACACCATCCCCTAGTTGACATTCAGGGCACAGAACATTGAGCACAGATACCCATCCCCAAACTTGAGAGTGTACACACTCCGTCTAAACAGAAGACATCGATAGGCTACCCACAGATCCCCCACGGTTGACACTGACCTTGGAAGTAAATGCCACAGCAAGGGGCACACACAGCTAGGTGAGCCTGACTCCAAGGCTCCCTTTTTACAAATACGTGGCCGTCATAAGAATAGTAAGTGATGCTAGGAGCCTAGCACATCCGAGAGAAAGTCTCCCGGTGTGAGTAGGGAAGCTGGGTGGAGGTTGGTTCTCTGACCTAGCCAATCAGTACAGAGCACCAGCCACGTGCTAACCTGCGGCTAAGGGCCCACGTTAGCGCTGAGACGTGTACGACCCTACCCTAGTGGCCTCAAGGCTGTACCGGGCTTCCTTAAAGGAGGGGGTCTTTGGGGCTGAGCCAGGCTGGGATCTCCTGGGCACATTTCTTTCTTGTAGAAGCCAATCGGCCCGTGAACCTCTGCAGACCCAGCCCATGCATGAACGAGGGCACCTGCGTCCTGCGGAACGGGAATTACCTCTGCACTTGCCGAGAGGGCTGGGACGGCCCCCACTGTGAGAACCGTGAGTGGGGCCCTGGCTCCGAGTGTGAGCTGGGGGTGGTATTGAGACTGGACAGGCCCTGGGAACTCGGCTGAAGGCAGGCTTCAGGGCGTTGGCTCAACAGAAGGAAGCAGCATCCTTTGTTCATTCACTCAAGAAACATGTAGCAGGGGCCTCCTGCATCCCAGTCATCTTTCTGGGTGCGGGAAACATAGTAAATTAGAAAGAACCTCTGCCCTCACGGAGCATCCATGCGTGTGGGGGAGACAGGAAGTAGTGTATTAGATGGTGCTCAGGACACAAGAGCAAAATCATGGTGACTGGGAGGACGGTCTCCTAGGGAGGCCTCGGTCAGGAGCACCGTGGATCCAGAGTGACTGGGAGACAGAGGATGTGGCCCCGATGCAGGAAGGTGGGTAGATGTGGTGGAAGCTGGTGGGAGGTTTTTTGAGTGTTTCTATTTGCTCAGGGAAGGGGGAGGAATCGGCTTGAGTGAGGATGGGGAGCAGCTGTTGGAGGTTGAAGGAGAGAGAAGTAACCATCTAGGAGAGAGGGGACCAGACTAAGGTCATAGAGACTGATTGCTGAGCAGCATCACGCCCACCTGGGGCTCCTGGTCATGAATTTAAAGTTAGATCCCCGCAACCAGAAGACAATTCCCATTGGAGCCTTGGGTTCTCGGCCCCTGGCAGAGGTGGACTTCCTAAGGCAGGGAGTGGATCTGAAGGGCCCTCAGGTAGGGCCTTTGATCTGGCATCTTCTGCTTGGTTGTGGTCAGGGGCCCACCTGACTGCTGGTAGGCTGAGAGGACTGACACTCCTGATGTCCTCACAGTTCGCTTCTTTCCCAGGGGTCCTGAGAGGAGATGCCCTCAGGGCACAAGGCTCCCGTCCACAGCCTGCAGGAGGGCAGCAGCCCGGCCCCTCCCAGCAACTCCCGAGAAGGCCCCGGCACCCTGGACGCTGAAAGGACGCCTGCCCTCGGCGCAGCATCCCTGCTTGCGGGGTCCCCCGAGCATCTGCCTCCAGCTCTGTCCAGAGCCCGCCTGCCCGCTCCTCCCCCAGGGAGAAGAGACGCCCCAGCTGTAGACAGTGCTGCTTCGGGACACGGTAGCAGCTGTTCTCACTTGCTAATGATGGTGTTGAAAACGCTCGACGTGTGAGTAAATATTTCCTTTCTGTAGCTAGTTGTGCCCTGTCGAGCTTGTCACCTCCCCCACCCCCAGGAGAAACAAAGGAACCTGGAGACTTTTGATGGCCCGTGGGAAGCTCACTTGGCCCACAACTCATGTTGGGACAGTAATGCTCAAAAGGAGGCAGTGACTAGAGTGTCGTTCAGACCACTGAAGTGATGGCATCTCAAGATGGAGAAAGTGCAGAACTTTTCACAATCTTGCCCTAACGATGTCCTGGATGCATTTGTTTTGTTTCAAAAGGGGCTTGAGCGGCATTTGTGGCTCCTGGGGAGTGGATCTGTGCGGGGCAGAGACTTGGAAAAGCCCCAGACTGGAACGTGCCTGATTC